GTGCTGTGTGTACATTAATGAGGAAAAAAAATTAACTTAAATGATTTTAGCAAATGGCTGCAATATAACAAAGAGTGAAAAATTTAAGGGGGTCTGAATACTTTCCGTACCCACTGTAGATCATGAGCTCCAAAACCCAGTGCACAAACTCGACTACCTGCTAACGGATGTCGGTCATCTAGAGGAAGAAACAGTCAAACTCAATTGCATTCTATCAAGTACTTCTGCAAATCTACAGCATGTGTGGGTTCCTTGCTATAATGCATACCTTGATGCATACCCTGGTGAACCTGAGCTAAAAACAGCCAATGCCTATAATAAAGCTCATGCTATCTGTATATATGTAAGATGGAAAATGTACGTACATAACAACACTGGCTAAAACTAATGATGAGAGTTGGGGTGAAGGACGACCTGTTTGACCGGACAATAAAGATGGCAAATCCATCCATCATCTATCTATCTACCCAACTTTTGATCCACTCATCCATCCATCCATCTATTATCTATCCATCCATCCATTCATCTACCCATCCACCCATGTATCCATCATCTATCAATACATCCATCTATCCATCCAACATCTATCTATCTACCCATCTATCCATCCATCCACCCACCCACCCATCTATATATCAAACACCCACCCATCCGTCTATCTATCCATTCACCCATCTATATATCCTCCACCCATCCATCCATCTCTCCCTCCATTTATTCATCCACCCATCCATCCCACCATCCATTCATCCAACCACCAATCGATCCATCCATCATCTATCCATCTATTCATCCACCCATCCATTAATTTATCCATCCATCCATCATCTATCTATCCACCCATCTACATATCCTCCACCCATCCATTCATCCACCCACCAATCGATCCATCCATCATCTATCCATCTATTCATCCATTCATTTCCATTCATTTATCCATCCATCATCTATCTATCCACCCATCTATCCAACCAACATCCATTTATCAACCCATCTATCCATCCATTCATCCATCCATCTATTCATCATCTATTTATTCATCTATGCATCCATATACAGTATATTCACATCTTGTTTTTCTTTGAAATTCATTTTAATTCAACTTCTTACATTCAAATTTGAATTGCAATTCTGCATCCTGTTTGGTTCCTCAATTCAAATTCAGTAAAGGAATTGATTCTGACTCCATGCTGACCTGCAGAGATTAGTCCTCCCACAGCATTCAGATCTTTTCCGGCTCTTTCCGCCACCATCAGCAGAACACAAGGTATCGTGGGGACACGACGGGGGAGTTTACGCAGAGCTTGCTATAAACACCTTCAATAAAGCACAGTTCTTTGCTGATAAAGAGCTGGACTGCAGACAGGTTTTTAGGGTTATGGGAGTCTGAGATACACAAGCAATGATGTGCTGATGTATTAATGCTTCCAAATCAGTCCTCACCAAATGAGTCGCGTCCCATGTGTGCATCCGTCATCGGAAAACTTTACGTCTCAGCTTCATTGACTTTCTTTAACCAGTCCCTTTTAAACCCTTGATGGTTTAAAGCTAAAGTCCTTCCTGACAGGGAAGGAAACTCATTAAAAATGTTTTATAGATCTATTGACATAGCCTTCCTGAAAAGTCCTATGTCTATTGTCAATAATGCATCGGGTCAAATCACGGGTCAAACTAATCAATAACTTAAATTCCACTCTATGCCCTGTTGATGCTGGTCTTTGGCCCCGACCTGAAAAAAAGCAATGCTGCACAGACAGTTGTGTAAAAGTCTGCTGTGAAGGGTTCAGACTGAGGGCGCAAAACCTACTCAATCAAAAAAACAAACAAAAAAAAATCATTACAAAGTCTCAAGTGGTCTATACACTTCACAGATACACACGAGTAAAGGTCACTAGACCACAGTCAACATAATATGCTTCATTTAGGACGGAGCCACACTCTGAGATCTGAGGTGTCATTCCCGTTATGCAACACACTGATTAACAGCAAAAAATGCTTCATTTTTGTACACAATGGCAATAACATTACCAGGATGCAACTTGAAAGGATAGAAATAGAGTGAACAATAGTTATTGCATATATTAGAAAATTAACTTGTAGATTATTTTAAATTAATATGTTTATTTTGTATTTTTTCAGTAACTCTGAACTCTAAACGAAATTAAATAGAAATGCTTTTAAAAACAAAAACTAATAAAAAGTACTAAATATTTTCTAAAACAAAATATTACATAATTACTCAAACTTAAACTAATAAAAAAAAATAATAATATAATTCATAATTATAAAAAATAATAAAAAATATAATTGTGATTTCTCAGTTTATAATTCAGTCATTCAGACTTTTTTCATGCACTTATGAGTTTCTCTCACAATTCTGATTTTTTTCCCCCCTTGCAATTCTGATTTTAAGATTGTGAGATATAAACTTGCAATTGTGAGAAAAAAAGTCATAATTGTGAGAAAGTCGCAATTAGCTTTTTTATATATTTTTTTCCTTGGAAGAAACAGGCTTCCATAATAAACACTATAATAGCATATAAATAATACTAGAATAACAGTAAGCAGAACCGGTGGAGAGTTCAGGAAATGAGATGTGATTAAAGGACACAAGTGTGATAAGAATGGCGAGCACATGCTTGGAAAAGAGCGCTGTCGGGAGCCGCTGGGATTATTAGCGCCTACAAAACATCTACAGTTACAGAAAACAGACGTGAGATTGGAGAGGGCTGTTCCTGTGACCGGTAAAGTGGTGTTCCTGTCAAACCAGCATGTTTCACGACAGGCTGGATGCATTTGATGTCGGCTGTGTGTTTTAATGTAAAGCGTACGTTATTGACCTACATCTTATAGCTGTGAACATAAGGAGCTGCATCCAGCTTTAATCTGTTATTGTAGGTTATCCGTGACAGAACGCGACTAGTAAACAATGCATTAAGACGACTAACCTTACGCACTTGTGTTTTTCTACATGCAACGTGACGGGAAAACTAGAGCAGACGCAATACAATGAGCTCCCAACACAAGATAAAGTGCAAAACATACATTTTCTAAATAGAAACAAGACTTTAAAGAACAATTAATATAGTCTCGTGTAGACTTTTTATCAGTATAAAATCTGCTCAGTGTATTTGGCAACATGAAATTGCATTTGCGACACATTCACTTCAGGATAAGTCTCGGAACATGCATTATAAAAGTAAAAAGTGTCAGTTTTGATATCATGTTAACTAAGGCAACTCAATCAACTGGAGAAAGACAGAAATCTCTAAAACTCTTAACTAAGCTGACTTTTTAATAACACTTCAAATTACCAATAAAATCGGACAAAATAAACATGACATTACACATTTCATCTTCTATCTAAAAATAACTTCAATCTGAAAATATCATGCCAGTTGTGATTTTTATGTTATTTTAATTTTTCTTAGAAGCGGAAAAAAAAAATTATGTATGCATGAACTAATTCTGTTTTTAACGTAATGCAAATACATTTAAGAATACCAGCAGATGGGAAGATTATTAGTCAATAACTACTTAAAACTGCATGTCATATGCATGACTGTTATTATACTTTTATGGTATTTTTTTTTGGCCTTTTTGGGGCTTGACAGCATAAATCACCATCTGCTTTCTTTGGAAAATTGAAGCTGCCTAAAATAACCTCTCAACTCTCTTAGTGTTTCATGGAAGAAAATAATACAGTCAATGAGGACTATTAATTTATCTATATCTGTATAGGGCCAAGAACAGCACACTTCGAAAAAGACCATTTGACATGTAAAAGTCAAATTATTTTTTTATTTTTTAACGTCTCACTTACAATCTTTCCCTCTGCTGCAATTCTCAAATATCATTTATGGCCATTTTCATATCACATGCATGAATTAATGGCATTTTAACTGAATGCAAACACATTTAAGAGGGGCTGGAGATGGAAAGATTATCAGTGAATAACAACTTAAAACTGCATGTCGTAATGTCACATGCATGACTATCATTATACTTTTATGGACTTTTTTTGGCCTTTCTGGAGCTTGAAAGCATAAATCACCCTCCACTTTCCTTGGAAAATAGAAGCTGACGAAAATAACCTCCGAACTCTCTTTGTGTTTCATGGAAGAAAAAAAAAATAATGCAAGGTCAGATCAACATCAGGAGAGTAAATAAAGACTTTTAATGCACTACATTTTTAGTCCTACATTTAACATGTACGTATTTGAAATGCATGTAAAATTTCCACCCATTTGGATTACACAGATTTAACAAACTAATAAACTGTGATGCATATTTATTAGCCATACATAAATAAAACGGGTAAGATTTCTGCAATCCAAAAACAATAGCATAGTTTATTATTTGTATTTTAGTATTTACAAATAATAAACTATGCTACTTTTTTTAATTTTATTTCAATAATCATATTTTCAAAGTGCATTTATTCATTTGCATACATTTGAAAAAGTATGAACTTGGTTAAAATATGGCTATAGCTGTGAAACAAGCAGTATTCAATTAGTTAAAATGTTTAAACAAATCAGATTTATTGATGATAAATGTATAAACCTGGTTATTGTGTATTTTAAAACACATTAAGTTTATTAGTACTATTACAGAAATCTGATCAGTTTTATTTATAATTGACTGACAAATATGCATCACATCAAAAACTGTATAAAATTGTATATGCAATTGAAATCTGAGTGTGTAGAGCTTTGTATAAATATGTAGTTGTTTCTCTGGCGGATTACACTCAGACTGAGCTGAAAGGTCTCGTCTGGCTGTGTGTTTAACTGTGAGAGCCAGCTCTGTTTAGTTTCTGGAGTTCATTCCCACCGTTCGTCTCATCCGGTTGCCAGAAGAGGCCGAGATGTTGGAGGTTATTTGAAGGTCAGCTTTGATTGTTAGTTTCTCTCAGTTTTGGTGAAAAGCAAGAGAAGGAAAGCGAACGTTTCCATGGACACATGATAAATCGAGGTGGGCTTCATTAAAAATCCCACAATGCTCCTCTGCGTCGGCGCCTCCAGACCAGACAAAGGGGGTGCAGGGGCGGATTTGGAGACGGTCCAGGGTCAGAGTCTTGTACATTCCAACTGGCATGTAGCGCATTTGTTCTTTCTGTCTGGAAGCGGTGGGCCGTGCAGCGATTTGCTCCATTTATAAGCCTGAACAGATGCAGCATTCCCACTCCAAACTATTGTTTCTCACTTGGCTAGAGCCGGAGAAACAGGGATTGGCTCACAAATATGTGAGCGATAAACAGTAACAAAGTATTTTAGTAACATTTTAGTTAAGGGACCAATTCTTACTGTTAACTAGTTGCTTATTAGCATGCATATTACTTGCATATTGGCTGTTTTTATTACTTATAAAGCACATATTTATGCCTTATTTTGCATGAATTATGTACTTTTACTCAAGTAAAATTTAAAAGGAGTACTTAATACTTTTACTGGAGTAATATTTTATTAGGGTATCTCTTTCTCAAGTACTTGATTGTGTATTCCGTCCACCACTGGTGATAAACAACTTTTACAAAAGCAAAGATTTAGGATGGTTTCCTAGATGAGGAGCTCAACCGCCTCTAGCTATTTTCTCTATCCCCCCCTTAGTTTTCTAACAAGAGTGCTTTAAATGCATCTGAATCAGCAGTATGCAAATCCAAACTCACAGCCAGAGAAACGTCTAAACAAACTGAATTACATTAGCACATTTAGTGCCCCTTCACAGCGTCTGGAGCGCATGGGCTTTGACAGCGCTGTCATTGATTAGGTGTTAAAAACAAGTTTTTTAGGAATGCATGGATTTAACTGAGCGCGCATCTGCAGGTTTATCCTGTGACGTCTCACCGATAGATTACAGGTCCAATGCAGTCAATGTACTTGATCACAGAAGTGGAGACAAACATTAAGCTGCTACTCTGACATAATGATTTTTCAGTGCTGTTTATTAAGGCGGCATCGATATTACTATTGCTCATATTCAGGGTCAGAGATGTGATCAAAGCTCAACACTCAGTGCTACAAGAGTATCACAGAGACTTGCATGCAAAACAGTAAGCAACCACCAAGCAAAGACTCGCAACACCCTAGCAACCACATAGCAATGCCCTGGAAACCACATAAACAACACCCTAGCAACCATATAGCAACGCCATGGAAACTATATAAATATCACGCTAGCAACCACATTAACAACACCCTAGTAATCACATAGCAACACCCAGTCAACCACATAAACAACACACTATTAATCACATAACAACACCTTGGAAACCATCCACAACACCCTAGCAACCACATATCAACACTGTGGAAACTATGTAAACTTTACTCTAGCAACCACATAGCAACTCCCTTGCAACTACATAACACTCTTGTAATCAGATAGCAACACCCTGGAAACCAACCACAACACCCTAGCAACCAAATAGCAACACCCTGGCAACCATATTAACAACACCCTTGTTATCACATAGCAGTGCCCTGGAATCCACTAAGAAAACCCTAGTAATCATTTAGCAATGCCCTGGCAACCACCCACAACACTCTAGCAACCACATAGCAACAACGTGACAACCACATAAACAACACACTAGCAACCACATAGCAACACCCTAGTAACCATATAGCAATGCCCCGGCAACGTCCCACAACACTATCAACCACATAGCAACACCCTAGCAACGACATACTGTAGCAACATGCTAAGAACCGGTTAACAACCACCAAGGTTATAACTCTTCATGTTACTGTAATTGCAGGTTTAAAGGTTTGCTGCAACAAAAACTAAAACTAGATGTTATTTATGCAAAATTCTGTATTAGTTTCAAAGTAATAAAAAAAGTAATTTCAGTTTTTATCTAATGATGTTATTTTTTCTCTTTATTACAGTTTCTTCAGAACATGTAAAAATCTAGTTATTTTACTTCATCTTTTGAATGTTTTATGTACAAATAAACAGAGTTTGAATTCATCAATAATTTATGACCACAAATGTTGGTGGGTTTAAATTTGAATTTGTTCTGTTTTGTGTATTTTGTTGCAAAGGCTCCATTTAAACTTTAAATCCTGGATTCTGGTTTGACGCCCCATTTATGTCTATTTGCATACTGAAAAGCGATTGGTTTTTCTTTTATTGCATCTATTTAACATCTACAGCTACCAGAAAAGCAGCAGAACCGAAGCCTAAGACATGATTCTTTTGTTGCAAGCACTACACTCTCCTTCAGGAAATGCAGATCTAGTTTTAATGATGTAAAACCTGTGCTAAAATCACTTTTATGATGAATCACGGAGACCTGAGCGACTTGTCTTCAAACGTCTCTCTACAAGTCCTGCGTGTGACGTCCTGGAGCGCTGCTCTCTGGTTCTCTATTACAGCTGTGTTAGTGTATCCCGTGACCCCGCTGACCTCTGGCTCTGCCTGTAATGAACAGTAATGGCCTGCAGACTCGAGCAGCAGCAGCGAAAGAACGGACCCTCTCACTGCGAGAGCCGCTAAATGAGAGTGAGAGAGAGTAATGCGTAATAGATGGAAACCAACTGATTGCACAAATAAAGGAGAGGCGGGAGGCATGAACGGAAATGAAAAAGCCAACAATATACAGGAAGTGGGGAAAAAACAACAGGACGGGGAAAAAAGGCTGAATAAATGCAATACGGGAAAATATGGGAGAAACATGAGGACATGCATGTGCTATAGAGTCTGTCATATTTGTTTGCTAGTGTTCTAACTGGTTGCTATGCATTTTAAGTCTGTTTTTAGTCTGCCATATGTGGTTGCTAGTCTTTTACAGGTTGCCAGGATGTTGCTATGCGTTTTAATCTGTCTTTAGTCTGTTTTTATGCTGTCATATATGGTTGCTAGTGTTCTACTGGTTGCCAGGGTGTTGCTATGCATTTTAGTCTGGTTTTTAGACTGTTATATGTGTTTGCAAGTCTTTTAAAGGTTGCCAGTGTGTTGCTATGTGTTTTAGTCTGTCTTTAGTCTGTTTTTAGACGGTCATACATGGTTGCTAGTGTTTTATTTGTTGCCTAGGTGTTGCTATGCGTTATAGTCTGTTTTTAGTCTGTCGTGTGTGGTTGCTAGTCTTTTACAGGTTGCCAGGGTGTTGCTATGCATTTTAGTCTGGTTTTTAAAAAAACACTTAAATACACTAAATAAAGAAATTTAAATAAAAAACAGTACAGTACTATAGAAAGTAGACATAAATGTAACAATGTATTTAAGGGGGTCTGAATACTTTCCGTACCCACTTTATATATATATAATTATTATATTAATATATGTTTATATTAAACATATAAACTAACAACAATTAGCCATGCTATAACTTCGTGTCCAGCTTGATTTATTAGTTTTAATATTCTCCTCTAAAGTATTCTAGTTCTCTCTGGCCCACTTTTTGGAAAAGTGTTTAATTATGCTTATTTTGCATGACCGCAAAATAGGGCCAGAATAAGCTTCAAATCAAAACTACCTGCACTACATTGCTAGTCTTTTACAGGTTGCCAGGGTGTTGCTATGCATTTTAGTCTGGTTTTTAGACTGTTATATGTGTTTGCAAGTCTTTTAAAGGTTGCCAGGGTGTTGCTATGTGTTTTAGTCTGTCTTTAGTCTGTTTTTAGACTGTCATACATGGTTGCTAGTGTTTTATTTATTGCCTAGGTGTTGCTATTCATTATAGTCTGTTTTTAGTCTGTCATATATGGTTGCTAGTGTGCCAATCACAACACACACTGTCCCAGCTAACCAATCACAGCACATTTCGTATTTCAGAAGGCGGGCCTTCATTTGAAACAGGAACTATTCGAGCCGTTCATGCCAGACTGGTGAGAGAGGTGTTGTAATAATGTAAAATATGTGAAAAATAATGTGTTTTTCGAACAACCTAGTATGAGAGCCTGTTCTAGTACACCCCCAAAACAAATTTTACAAGACTTTGTAAAAGAGCATAATAGGACCCCTTTAACTCTTTGGATCATTAAGGAACCAAAAATGGTTCATCAATGGCATCACTGTGAAAACTCCTTTTTGGAATGTTTATTTTTAAGAGTGAATGGTGCTTGAACTACTTTGAATTATGAGTTGCTTGGCAAGCTAGAGTTGCAAAAGAGCTTTCCCAACCACTGGCCTCAACACACACACAGCGGCCCTGAGATCCACACGGCAGAGACAGACAGTCGATATCTCTCCACTGTGCTTCAATATTCCAGCATCGCCTCTCCGAACGCCCGCTGAGCAAACACCCGCTACAAGCAGCGTCACGCAGCACAAACCATCCAAATAACAGAGAGCAATCAAGACAACGTGAACCCATACACATGCAATGAACCGTTTTTTTCTAAATGACAGACGTATTCAATTTGGGCAGAATTAAAATCACAAAGTATGCCTGTGAAACACAACATGCCCTGTCCGAACAGAGCCAGAAGCGAAAGAACAAAACAAGAGAAACATTCATTAAACATTCTGATCTTTTAATCAAACGATCTACAACTCGCACGGGACACATCACACATCATGCCTGAGCCGTTCATGGCCACTGTTGCTGTGTCGCTGAGTGATGGTGAGCAGACGCCTGCTACAAAACCACCTGACATCACATTCATCCAGCAGCTTCATCACAGACCCTGACAGGCCTTTGATGCCTTCCACATGCAATATTTATTGGATCACATGTCAAAAAGGAATGTGACACATCACACATCATGCCTGAGCCGTTCATGGCCACTGTTGCTGTGTCGCTGAGTGATGGTGAGCAGACGCCTGCTACAAAACCACCTGACATCACATTCATCCAGCAGCTTCATCTATTGGATCACATGTCAAAAAGGAATGTGAACTCTCGGCATCAATTAAATGCCACTATTTAGACCTGTAATGACATCCTGACAGATTCCTTCATTTACGGCGACCCTACAGATGTTTGGTGAATTGTGCAGACACTCTTTTATCAGTTTCCCCCTCAGGTACACTTATTCCAAAAGCATAATTAAAACAATCATAATTTAGTTTTAAATGACTAATTTCCACCATCTGTCCAACCTTTACATATAAGTGGTCCATTTTTGCTGCTGCAGTTCATATGCGAAGTCTCTTCTGCTCACCGAGGCTGCATTTATTTGATCAAAAATACAATAAAAACAGAAAAA